ACTTTCGTGGTCATCTAAAAGGGGTAACTGCTCATACTTGATGGAACCTTTAATCAGCAATGCCACACCACCCCCTCTCGTTGTCCTATCTTTACGGATTACGCTGTATGAACTGGGAAATACTTCGTCATTCGTAATGTCTTCGTTTAACCATGTCTCAGTTATGGCAATTAAATGTCAGTTATGGCAATTAAATTTGAAAGAATGATGGACTCATTGCTCCAAGGGTTGAAATGGTCCACCTGCTTATGTTACCTTGACGATGTTGTTGTTTTTTCGCCCACATTCGACTCTCATCTCGATCGTTTGTCAGCTATTTTGGACGTTTTTCGTCGAGCCAGACTTCAGCTTAACGCCTCCAAGTGCCACTTCGCTCGTCGTGAAATTTTCGTGCTCGGTCACCTTGTCGATGCCCAAGGCGTGCGTCCAGACCCAGAGAAAATTCGCGCAGTCACGAACTTTCCCGTTCTGAGGACCACGAAGGATGTCCGCAGTTTTGTGGGGTTGTGCTCATATTTCAGACGCTTTGTTAAGGACTTTGTGATTGCACGCCCCCTCACAGACCTCTTGAAGAAAGACGCCTCATTTATCCGAGGCTATGATCAAGCGTCACCGTTTTCCCAACTTACGACACTGCTTACGACGCCACCAGTCTTGGCTCACTTTGATCCATTAGCCCCAACCGAGGTTCACACGGATGCCAGTGGACACGGCATAGGAGCTGTGCTATTGCAGCAACAACGGGGACACGACCGTGTTATAGCCTACGCAAGTCGACTGCTATCTCCAGCCAAGCGCAACTATTCCATCACGAAGCGCGAGTGCCTCACCCTTGTATGGGCAGTCGCCAAGTTTCGTCCGTACCTGTACGGGCGCAACGGATGTTGTCACAGATCATCACGCGCTCTGCTGGCTAGCCTCCCTGAAGGACCCCACAGGATGTCTCACTCGTTGGGCCCTACGCCTTCAAGAATACACGACCACCAGGATTGGGACATTCATTTGCCGTATGTGACGTTCCCCTCCAATTCATCTCGTCACAAAAGTGCCAGCTATTCGCCCTTCTATCTCTTATATGGCCGGGACCCAACTCTACCCTTAGACACTTTGCTACCTGCGGCCGCTGAATATGCCGGGGAAGCCATTGCCGGCGCCGACCACACACACCAAGTCGCCTGTAATCGTCTACAGGCTTCGCAGGCGCACCAACAGCTTTACAATTCTCACCATAGGAATTGCACTTTTCCCCGGGTTCTCTCGTGCTCCTCTGGTCACCTACTCGGCGTGTGGGACTGTCTGAAAAACTGTTGTCGCCCTACACTGGACCATTCCGTATCAATCGCCAAGTGACAGACGTCACGTACGAGATTGTTCCAACCGATCCAACAAAGTCATCGTCAGCTCCAAGCGACACCGTTCACCCGGCTCGGTTAAAGCCATATTACCCCCCTTCGACATCATCTGCGTAGATTTAGCTCCGGGGCGGTGCTTCTACTGCCGGGGGTTATGATACATAACAGCCGCTAAACACGGCTGCATGAAAGAGAAGGACGAAGTGAGTTTCGTTTGATGCTGGACTGACGGCATCTTGTTCGTCGAGATCTGTGCGTTCTAAATAGATTAATAAATAAGTCACTCGTAACAATAATAAGTGGCCAGAAAATTTGGCATGAGTGTTTCTTGTTCAGCACTATGCATGTTTTTTTGTGTGTGCTCCTTTATGAGGGTTAGAAATAGTGGCAGCTGCGACAAAACCCGCAAATGAAAGTTTGTAGCATGCATCATAAGAAGATATTCATGAGGTCCCGTTGAGCTGCGCCTGGCTATATGTGAGCCAAACAGGAAGATGCTTGTTTAAGCGCCTGCTGGAGCATTTTATACTGTACCTTCAGAGAGCGAACAACACTTGGCAGTACGTTTTAGTTTCTCTACTAATTGCGAGGCACGCTTTGAGGGAACAACTGTTTAGCACGGAGTGTACCAAAGAAAAAAGAGCACGTCACATATTGGAAGGGTCTGCGTGAGGGTCGGTCAAGATATATATATGTGCATGAGTGAACACTGTTTATTTACACAAAAAGAGCTTGAATTTTTTTAGCTAGATGAATTTTTCAATTATTCGGTCGTATATGTTATTTTAAAAAACTTCCAATTTCGCGCCTTTACGATAAACACGTCAACGTGAGACCATGTAGTGATTGCTGCAATTTCGGCATTAGTGCTATGATGCCTGCACGAAATGCACAGGAGCGTGACAATGGCTGCCGGCGAACGTGCTGGCACGTCATTGCGACAAATATATGAATGACAAGCATCTTAAAGAATCAAATCGTGAACACCTCACTCAGCAGTGTGTTTTAGCAGTCTAGCACTGTTACTGCCCATGTAAGCGTACTGCAGTATACCGAGCACGTCGTTCGCTGCTGCGCCCTTATTTGCCGTACCACTTCAATTAAGTGTGTACTGCTCTTGGAAATGAAAGCAACTTGCCACTGCCGCATTGTCCCGACAAACACTCGTATCTCTGCACAGCCCAATGCCGAGCGATCACGAAGAAAAACGTCACTGCGCAAGGGCAAATGCATGCGCACGTTACAGCTAGCAGCACTGACGCTTAGTAGGCAAGATACTGCATGCAACTAGCTAAGGACACTCAGCTTGACGACACAGCTGTTAATGTGCTGTGTGTAGCTACGGCGCTGTTCATTCATTGATCGCCACAAAAACGTATGCGTATGCATTGACGAAAGCTTGACAAGTCTTCTGTGAGCTGTGCCGCTGTCGGCAACGTTGGCATGTGTTTCATGTCATTGTGACGACAGAAAGTAGCGCAAAGAAACGGGGACACAAGACGAGGACACACGGCACAGGCGCTAACTTCCAACATAAGATGACATCGACAGTGTTCGACAATTTCGACAGTGTTCCTGTCATAGTTCCGAAATGATTTGATGGTAGCACGCAATCATGTGAATGAGCTGAAGTGTTTTTCTGTGCAATGGGAAACAAAGAAAAAGCCATGCACTTTCCACAACGCTACAATGTCGTCGTCACATATATTTCTCTGTTGCTATTGGCGGCGCATGTAAGATGACGAAAAGTTGGGGCAGCTACTGCGTGGTTACTCTACGTTCCCAACAGCGTCTTCTGGACTTCATTGTATGCTCATCATACTCACGCAGCAGCGTCTCCTGCAGTTATTCCTCCGGAACTCTGTTGCTGCTATCTCACTGTTTTGTCAACGTCAGCAGCCAGTGCACCGAAGGCAGTCCCAGTGCGGCAAGATAGTGCCCTCGCTGCGGGGAGTTGTGCCTCGATTTAAAAAAGCATATTCGGGTCATCTTTTTGTCACACAACAATATTCAGTCTATCTCGCGTGCTTTCCTTGCATTAGCACTACCTGCCCAGTGCACCTTGCTCATTATTGTGCGACTGTCAGCGTGACAGAGCACTCTTAATAGAAAAATGGTGAGCGTGTAGTTCTAGAGAAAGGGAACGAAATATTGCCAGATAACGAGTATTGCTGTGTAGATGAATGATGCACCAACTACTCCTGCTTGCCTTAGTGGCCCGGCTGGTGATAACAGGGGCAACAATTAAGAAGAAAACGGTAAAGTTCCGAATGGTACGTGCGTGCCAAACCTGAAAGGGAGGAAACACCGATAAATTTTGACCACCTAGGGTGCATAGATTGCATAGATTTAAGTACATGGGTGTTAATGGTTACATCTCTACTCTTTGGAATGGAGCTGCCATGGAGGGAATCAAACCAGCGGCCTCGAACTCAAAGAAAGGTTTGTTCAACATGTGAACTGAACCCAAGACATCACACTATTTAGCACATTTATATGCTTCCTGGCAAGTACAGATGGTGGCATTGATGTTGTGCAATAACAGACTAGAATAGCTAACAAACGTATTGGTTTCAGCATAAGTATATGGTAAAGTACTACAAGATAACTGGTAAAAAAAATCGTGTCGTGTCTCTTCATTATTCTATATTCTATTTGTCTTCAAAAATTTGATATTTGGACACGCCTAGTAGTTTCACATCCCAAAACCACGATTTGATTATGAGGGACGCTGTAGTGGAGGACTCTGGAAATTATGACCGTGTGGTGTTTTTTAACGTGCACTAACATCGCACAGTACACAAACCGCTACCATTTCGCCTTTATCGAAACGTGAGAACCCTCATCGAACTCCTGACCTCGGTGTGCCATCCTAACGTTAGTGCTTGTGCGCATGTGTGTTGTCAGAAAGGGAAGGTTGACGTATTTCAATAAATTCAGTTGTTAGTCGGAGCTCATCCTGCCAATTTCTACTCATGTTCTGTCACCCGGAATTTTTATTTGAACATCAGTGGTCGTCTACGGTTATGCAAAAGTGGGTACGTCAGATCCGTTCTGTGGGAAATCGCTATACGGCAAAAGATTTTATAAAAGAGAGAATTGGCAGCCACCATTTGTAGCACAAAGCAACACGGGTTTCTCATAATGTAAGATGCTTAGTTGATCAAAAAATCTATGCTGGTTTGGTGATCAGACCAAGACCATTGCATTTTCAGGGCTGTCACTCAAAAGTATACAAATTTGGTGAATATACCTTGTGCCCAAAGCATAATCCACAGGAACAGTCACATTAAGTATTGAAATCATTAGGGTGCCTATGATTTCTGGCATAAAATTTTTCTCAGCTGTAACGTCTGTGTAATAAAGGGAGATTACTGCAATAACGAATATGGGTTGCTGAGGGAGACGATACTCTTATGTTGACGGGCTGATGTGACTGCAATCAGTACAAATTGTTATTGCGATACAGTTCTAAAAGCAGGCGATCGCACTAATGCATCAGTCTGTGACAGTTTAGGCTATGGTTAATATAAACAAGCTGGCGTAGAACAAGAGTAAGTGTGCACAATTTCAATAGATGTGAACAAACAGGCTGTGTACCATTGGCGGGCTGTAGTAACTTGGCTGGCACACGTTTTCTCTTACAAGGTGGCCTGTCTCGCACGTTCGAGCTGTACTCGGCAAGTGTGATGACTCCTGGCTTTCTGGATTATCATGCACGCATGCAGAGCTTCATCCTGTGGTTCATCGATGCGGCTTCGTACATCGACTCGGACGACGAGAAGTGGGAGTACTTTGTCCTGTGAGTGGGCAGTGTGCAGCTTTGGTTTTTCTTCTCCTTCATAGTTACTGGTAGTTCGTAGTAATATTACGTCTCGTACTACTAGTAAATTTTAACAACTGATTGTTGGAAGTGTTTCTTGTCTGGTTTGCAAACATATTACAGACACGAGAAAAAGGTTGTGGATGGAGTCACGTGCTATCCCTTCGCTGGATACGCAACTGTGTACAGATATTATGCCTACCCAGCTCACATCAGGCCGAGGATAAGGTGAGTATCATTTAAAGTTTAGGAATTTGTTGTGTTGATGCCTAACATACCGTAAACCTAAAGTGTGAAAAAAACTTCAGGATGCTCAAGCCTTTCTTTCTTTGAGTTGATGCAGTATCATTACTTATTTCTGAGTGAAGTGTTGCAGAGAAAGGTTGCTGAGCTTGCAAACTCTGTTCTGCAGAGCCACATGTACCATATTGCATTGATTCTTCAGTTCTTTGTGTCTTGAACATTCTTTGTTGGTTGTGGATGGGGGGGGGGGGGGGGGTGTATAACTTCGGCCTTTATTTTATTAACTGGAACGTTGCCTTGCTGAAATCACTTGCTCTCGCTGTCACGGTGTCAGGGGCATTGGTGCCATCTAGTCAATCATCTATTCAATCTGCCAAAGTTCAATTTTCACATGTTTGGTTTCGGACTGTTTGGTTTTTGTGCAGCCATGTGCACAGTACTAAAGTACTCTAACCTCATTATAACAAAGCTGCATCTTAAATGAAAATAAGTTCGTTATATCCGAAAAACCATTATATAGGTTTATTCCTAACACTGTATATATTGCAAGACTATTTTTCATTTACTTCGTTATACCCGATATTGTTATATTCAGGTTCATTATATCGAGGTTTGATTGTAATTTACGGGTTCATAGAACAACCGAGGTAGTGCCCTCGCATTGAAAATCACCAAGAACAGCAAGAGGGTGTAAACGATATTTTGTGAAACGTCGAAATTATAGGAGAGTCATTTATGGGACATCACCTCTGCCAGATGGGACGCGGCAATCTGCAGCTCGTCCTTGGCAGATCCGCCCTGGGCTGTCCACCAAGCCCGCGAGGTGGCTGAGGAGGTCGGCATCTCAGTCCCTTCATGGCAGTGACCCGCGACACAGTGATCTGTGTTTCAGAGGAGCCCCGCCGCATTTGTCTAGTGGCTAAGCTCGGCTGCTCACCCACAGGTCGCGGTATCGAATCCCGGCTGCGGTGGCTGCATTTCCGGTGAAGGTGGAAATGTTGTAGGCTTGTGTACTCGGATTTGGGTGCACATTAAAGAACCCCAGGTGGTTGAAATATCCGGAGCCCTCCACTACGGCGTCTCTCATAAACCCTACATATCAATCAAATCAATCAATGCATTTTGGAGGACCCAATAAAAGTTTATCCAATCTAAAGTAGTGTAGTACATGTGCTCTAGGTCTGTGCAAATAGTACATTTTAGAATAATAATAATTAGGTCCAATAATTTCTAATTGAATTGAAATAGTGTACTGTATCACATGTGTAAAAAAATGATCATACTTGTCATGGTTCAATTAACCTGCACAATTTTTTTAAAATTAAAACAAGGCATGAGCAGATGTCATTCTTCTTGGTCTCATCATCATCTGCGTGACTTCGCCCACTGCAGGTCAAAGGCCTCTCCTATGATCCACCAATCAACCCGTGGTCTTGTGCTTTCCATTGCCATATTATACAAGCAAACTTTTTCATTCCATCAGCCCACCTTACTTTTTGTCTCCCCTTCGTTCGTTTGCCTTCTATGGAAATTCACTCAGTTACCCTTAATCACCACCGATTATACTGCCTACGTGCTACGTGTCCGCCCCATGCCCATTTCTTTTTCTTGATTTCAACTATGATATCCTTGACCCCTGTTTGTTCCGTATTCTACTCTACTCTATTCTTGTCTTTTAAGGTTACACGTACCATTTTTTTTCCATTGATCGCTGCGTAGTCTTCAATTTAAGTTGAACCCTCTTTGTAAGTCTCCAGGTTTCTGCTCCGTAGCTAAGTACCAGCAAGATACAGCTGTTACATACTTTCCTCTTGAGGGATAGTGGCAATCTACCTGTCATAATTTGAGAGTGCTTGCCAAGTGTGCTTCACCCCATTCTTATTTTTTTAGTTACTTCAATCTCGTGGTTCAGCTCCGCTGTTATTACCTTTCCTATGTAGGCATAGTCTTTTACATCTTGAAGTGGACTATTGCGTATCTCGAAGCGCTGCTCTCTTTCGAGGCTGTTATACATTACTTCCGTTTTCTGCAGATTAATTTTAAGACCCACCTTTCGGCTCTCCTTGTCTAACTCCGTAATCATGAGTTGCAATTCGTCCCCTGAGTTACTCAGCAATGCAATGTCATCGGCCAAGCGCAGGTTACTAAGGTACTCTTCATTAACTAACTGTTCCCTAACTGTTCCCATTCTAGGCTTCTGAAAACCTCCTGTAAGCACGCGGTAAATAGCATTGGGGAGATCGTGTCCCCCTGCCTTACACCCTGCTCGATTGGTATTCTGTTGCTTTCTTTATGAAGCACTATGGTAGCGATTGATTCCCTGTAGATTTCTTTCAGGATGTTTATATATCCTTCATCGATGCCCTGATTCAGCAGTGTCTGCATTTCTGCTAATATTTCTACTGATTCAAACGCCTTCTCATAATCTATGAAGGCTATGTATAGTGGTTGGTTATACTCTGAGCATTTCTCTATTACCTGATTGATAGTACGAATGTGGTCTATTGTTGAGTAGCCTGTTCGAAATCCTGCTTGTTCCTTTGGTTGATTGAATTCTAATGCTTTCTTTACTTGGTTAGAAATTACATTTGTAAGTAGCTTGTATACTACAGGGAGCAAGCTGATCGGCCTCTAATTCTTCAAGTCCTTGTCATCTTTCTTATGTATTAAGATTATTTTAGCATTCTTCCAAGATCCTGTTACTCTTCCAGTCAGGAAACACCTCCTAAACAGGGTGGCTAGTTTTTCTAACACAATCTGTCCTCCATCTTTCAGCAGATGTGATGTTACCTGATCCTCACCAGAAGCATTGTCTCTTTTCATGCTCTCCAAGGCTTTTATGACTTCTATTATTACTAGTGGGGTGTCATCTGGGTTACTGCTAGTTCTTATAGCATTAAGGTCATTAGATTATCTTGTTAGATTATCTACTCGTTAGATTACCATTCATACTCGTTAGATTATCATTCAGTATATCTACGCTAAGGTTGGTTTTCTAAATAAGAGCAGAGTACCTATTCTGAAGCGAGACTCTGAATTCCTGTACTTTCCCTCTCAGTCCTAGCTCATTAATTGGCTTTTTGCGTATCAGTTTCTGTCGTTCCTTCTTCAAGTCTAGGCGAATTCGAGACCGTACCATTCCATGGTTACTGCATCGTTCCTTGCCAAGCACTTCCACATCCTGCACGATGCCTGGGTGTGCACTCAATATAAAGTCTATTTCGTTCTTATTTTCGCCATTAGGGCTCCTCCATGTCCACTTACGGCTTCCTCGTTTTCGGTAGAAGGTATTCAAAATCCGTAAATTATTGCATTCTGCGAATTCCACTAGTAGCTCTCCTCTGGCATTTCTAGTACCGATGCCATACTCTCCTACTGCCTGGTCTCCAGCCTGCTTCTTTCCTACCTTTGCATCAAAGTCTCCCATCAGTATAGTATACTGTGTTTTTACCTTACTCATTGCCAATTCTACGTCTTCATAGAAGCTTTCAACTGAAGCGTCATCATAGCTGGATGTAGGCACGTAAGCCTGTACCACCTTCATCTTGTATCTCTTATTGAGTTTAATTACAATACCTACCACCCTTTCATTAATACTATAGTAGTCCTCTATGTTGCCAGCTATGTTTCTGTGAATTAGGAACCCCACTCCCAATTCTCTTCTGTCAGCCGAACCCCAATAGCAAAAGACGTGCCCATTCGGTAGCACAGTATAGGCCCCATCTGTCCTCCTAACCTCACTGAGCCCTATTATATCCCATTTAACACCCTCTAGCTCCTCGAATAGTACTGCTAAACTTGCCTCCCTAGGTAAGGTTCTGCCCCGCCGCGGTGGTCTAGTGGCTAAGGTACTCGGCTGCTGACCCGCAGGTCGCGGGTTCGATTCCCGGCTGCGGCGGCTGCATTTCCGATGGAGGCGGAAATGTTGTAGGCCCGTGTACTCAGATTTGGGTGCACGTTAAAGAACCCCAGGTGGTCAAAATTTCCGGAGCCCTCCACTACGGCGTCTCTCATAATCAAATGGCGGTTTTGGGACGTTAAACCCCACAAATCAATCAATCAATTAGGTAAGGTTCTAGCGTTAAACGTTGCCAAGCTCAGGTTCTAATGGCGGCGTATCCTGGTCCAGAGATTCTTAGCACCCTCTGCTGCGTTGCAGATCTGACCGCCACCGTGGTCAGTTGCTTTGCAGCTGCTGGGGACTGAGGGCCGTGAGTTAATTGATGTGGGAGGTAGTGGCCAGATACAGCACCAGGGTGGCCAATCTTTCTCTGGTGAGGGAGTGCGTTACCGGCGGTGGTTGTGGTGAGGCTGCACCCCGGGCCTCTTAATGCAGTTCCATCACCACGCACATTTTTTTTAATCCGGTTGGGGACTGCACAGCACCGGGATTCGAACCATGGACCTTTTGCATGCGAGGCGAATGCTTTAACCACTACGCCATTGCCCACCTCTTCTTTTCCTTCTATATGTCCGAAAATCTAATTTCCTCATTAAAAAAAAATAACGGCCCTGTGTGGTTTCGAACTTCTGATCTTGTGAGCTTATGCCGGATTAGCGCCATGAATTACCCCTCTTTCCACGCGTTTGATTTCTCGTAACTTCTTCCTGTCACGCTCGATATTGACATTCAGGCCCGTAACTAGAGGGGGGGGGTTTGAGGGGGCCCCCCGAAATTTTTGATGCTTTAACTTTTCGGGTGATACTAAAATATTTACACGCCTTCACAGCGACCACCAGCTGCCAAACTTACACTGCAACTTTTCTGGCATTGCTTCCCTCTTTTTTTTTTCTTCAAACCTACCCTTTTACCAGAACACCTCAGCGCTCCCTCCCCGGCACGCGCACCTGCCCTATTTGTACAGCTTTGCACTTCGCCCTCGCGTTCCTCCGAGTCTTTTTTTTTTTTCGTCTTTCACACCGTAGCAGCTCCTTTATTGATTCGAGATGCTTTCCTTGTGCATTGCCGCTGGAGAAGTTATGCG